CCTAATGTTTTATCTGTGCTTTTAAATCTAAATGCTACGTATCCGGCTATATATTTTGCTTTATATTTTGCTGGTGTCTGTTCTTCTGTACTGGACGATGCTGCTGTCTGTTCTTCTGTACTGGACGATGCTGGTGTCTGTTCTTCTATACTGGACGATGCTGGTGTCTGTTCAACATCCATCGAAACTTCATTTGATACAGGCAAAGGCATTGTTTCAGCTAACACATTTTCGTTTGATGTTAGTGGAGGTACTGCATGAAGATGCAACGTCGGGATAGCATCAGGATGTATCTTCCTAGTTCGTATAGGTGAATAACCTAGTAGATGTTCTTGTAAGGGCTTCGTAAAAGCTTCATCAGCAAAATGCTTCGAACATATCCTAGCTGAAGCAAACAAGGTTTAAGATTCTTAAATATATGCTTATAATAATAAACAAGAGAAATCTATACAAAAGTACAAACCATATTTTGGTGAAATATTTTCTTTTCCGCATGCTTGACGCCACTTATTAAACAGTGCTGGATCCTTTGGGAAGGAAAAATATTTTATTTTATTTCCTTCGATCTTTCTGGTCTTTGCCAGATAGTTCCCACACCCTTTCACATTACACGTCATTGCGTACACTGTAATAATCACAAACGAATTACTCGACATAAACAGCGAACCGAGCGAACGCAGCCATTGCGAATCACCGAGTACATCCGATTCATTCCGATGCTACACGAATATGACGTAAACTTAGACAAAAGTGGTGGGAATGCGCAGTGGTCTGACACGGTATGAGCATACCCTTGTATTTCTACCATGGGCTCGGCGGGACCACGCCGGGCCCCCGCACGTGCGCCCTCAAGCTCGCGGTTCTTCCGCCCCGCCGATTGGTCGTGGGTGTCGCCCTGTTCGCGATGGCTGCGTTTCGCTATTCACTTGCAGTACTGGCAGCACTGTAAATCCGTTCCAATATACGCGGCAGTAAGCTGTCAAAGTGTTTTCATGTTCATGTGACGTCATAGATTTTGTCGTCACTCCCTACTTTCATTACTGCGGCTCGCGAGGTGAGGCATTCGCAGTAAGAACATGGCGGCTATGGCGGCACCTTTGAAAAAATTGATCCTTACTTATGTGAACTTTGCACCCGACTTTCGAAAAATTAATTTTTTTACGGAAAACGTTAGCATTTGGTTTGTATTTGTTTGTAGTAACAAAAATTTCGTTTGTAGTTTAATACATTAAAAATTATAAACATTTAAAAAATTACTCGCACCCCACTTTGAGATAACTCAAATCCGCTTGCGCCATCTTCTTCAAAATTGTTTGTAGTTGTTTGTAGTGCTTTTCTTTTCGTTTGTAGTTGCACTGTTCAAAAGTTATTATATTTTTGCAACAAACAAAAAAAGTAACTTTGCCAATTTTGGAGATATCTCAAATCAACTTGCGCCATTTTCTTCAGAATCATTTGTAGTGCTTTTCTTTTTGTTTATAGTTGCACCATTCAAAAGTTATTATATTTTTGCAATAAACAAAGAGTGTAACTTTGCCAACTTTGAAGATATCTCAAATCCGCTTGCGCCATCTTCTTCGGAATCGTTTGTAGTTGTTTGTAGTGCTTTTTTTTGTTTGTAGTTGCACTGTTAAAAGTTATTATATTTTTGCAATAAACAAAAAGAGTAACTTTGCCAATTTTGGAGATATCTCAAATCCGCTTGCGCCATCTTTTTCAGAATCATTTGTAGGTGTTTATAGAGTGTTTTTCTTTTTGTTTATAGTTGCACCATTCAAAAGTTATTATATTTTCGCATTAAACAAAAAGTGTAACTTTGCCAATTTTGGAGATATCTCAAATCCGCTTGTGCCATCTTTTTCAGAAACGTTTGTAGTTGTTTGTAGTGCTTTTCTTTTCGTTTATAGTTGCACTGTTCAAAAGTTATTACATTTTTGCAATAAACAAAAAGAGATAATTTTGAGAGACAATTTTGGAGATATTTTAAACGAAACGGAATGAAAACTATTACAAACAACTACAAACAATTCTACATCGAATCGCGCAATTAGTTTTAAAATATTTCCAAAATTGGCAAAGTTACACTTCTGGTATATTGCAAAAATATCATAACTAGATATATATAAAACGGTGCAAATACAAACAAAAAAAGAAAGCACTACAAACAACTACAAATGATTCTGAAGAAGATGGCGCAAGCGGATTTGAGATATCTCCAAAATTGGCAAAGTTACACTTTTTGTTTATTACAAAAATATAATAACTTTTGAATGGTGCAACTATAAACAAAAAGAAAAGCACTACAAACAACTACAAATGATTCTAAAGAAGATGGCGCAAACGGATTTGAGATATCTCAAAGTGGAGTGCGAGTAATTTTTTTAATTTTTATCATTTTTAATGTATTAAACTACAAACAAAATTTTTGTTACTACAAACAACTACAAACAAAATGCTAATGTTTTCTGTAAAAAAATTAATTTTTCGGAAGTCGGGTGCCAGGTTCACATGTTTGGTCCTTGTGGACCTGGAAGGCAACAACGAAAAATATACAATAATCGTTAGTTACGAAGATGCGGAAAAAGCCCGAAAAGATTACTACTACTACTACTACTAAATTAATATAATTAATAGAATAATAAATAATTTCGATATTTTTATAAATCTGAAAACTGTTATTTATTTTATAGACATAACTTTTGCAATATTATTGTTTAAGTACAAGATTCTTTTCTATATATTTAGAATAGGTGCTCCTATCGTCGTGTCACGTCGTGTCTAAGATAGGTTAAGATAGGTTATATTTCTCTCGTATACGGGTGCGTTTCGACATTCACTGGCAGTACTGTGGTCGTCGTTCCGTTATTCCAGCCTGAAAGTAACAGCAGCAATATAGAAACGCTTCTGCAGTTCTACTCAATGACGTCATATCGTCAGTACTTACAGTGAATATCGAAACGCACCCGATGTTGCAGACAATTTCCGCCATTTTCCCGCGGCCCGTTTGATTTGGCTGCTGGTTGTGCGTGGGCCCCTCGCGGTTTCCCGCCCGGCTGATCAGACCGTGGCGGCGCCGCTCGGCCCTCCGGGCGCCGTCGGGTAAAGCGTGCAGGTCGTCCACCCGCGCTGCAGTCGCGGTAGTGCACCCGTGGTTAAGTTGCGGCGGGGCCGTGTTATGGAGGATTCACATTGCCTCCGATCACGTCCGATGTTCGACGTACGACGATCCGACATCCAATAACAGAATTTATTATTAGAGACAAAAATTTTCTATTGGATGTCGGATCGTCGTACGTCGAACATCGGACGCAGTGTGAATCCTCCATTACGCTGTGCGAGACATTTTCGGCGCTTTTCCAGTGGCAGGTCCCGGTGGCCCGCCCGCCGGCTGACCATTCCACCGTGCGTCCTCCGAGCGCCCGTTCCTCCCTCGTCGCGACTATCGTCGTTACATTCGGTCGGTGATCCCGCTCTCCGGCACCACCTGTCATCCCTACGGAATTTAGCTAGAAAAGGTTAGTTAACGCGGGTAGCCCTTCCTCGACCCGATTCGAGGCGCCATCCCTGACCTTCTCCTCGGTCGAGCTACCGTCTGGGCGGAGGACGCGGCAAATGTCACGTCACAACATATAAGTGTGTAAAATTTTGTACAATTAATACACACATCAAGAATGTCATTATTCAATCGCGCGGCGCGACGTTGGCCTAATAGGCCTATTTTGTAATGAGCCGGCACTGGTTTTTGACATTCATCCGACATTAAGAAAAAATTATATTCGTATATCCGATTCGAAATTTTATTACTCTTTTTAAACTGAATTTGTTTCTTAAGAATTTTTGAAAAATTATATATTTGCGCTGGTTATGACACATGTAGACTATATATAACACTTACATCAAATTAAGAAGTAGTCTACCACGTAAGACGGTTGGCTCACTATCCAGAGGTCCCGAGGTCTCGAGTTCGAATTCCATCAAGGTAAGTGTGTTTTTCAAGTACGAGAAAATATTTATAATCATAGGTTGCATCTCTTAAGAAACAAATTTAGTTAAAAAATAGTTTTCAAAATAAATATAATTTTTTTATGTCGGGTAAATTTCCTCATTAGAGGGTACCTTATTTGGGGACTACACTCATTTGAGGGTACTCTATTTGAGGATTCTTTTCGTGGTTAACCCTCATTTTGGTGTTGACCGTCAATTGACGATCCGAATTTACACCAAACCTTTGATGGTATTATTACATCAAAAATTGGGTGTTTTTCTCGTAAGGGATCTTCTGTATTTCCAAACATGTCTTTTTTTCAGTATAGAACTTTCCTTTAGGTGGAAACATGTGAAATTGCACAGAGGTATCTTTTAATCCATAGCTTTTGGAGCCAAATACACAGCAAGAATCGCGATTTTTTGTGTCTCTAGGGGAAAATCTTGCCTCTCTGTCTTCTAGGTGTTCACTCATCGCACTTTTTTTATCACACACATCGTTATTTCACTAATTATTTATGAAAAACGTAAACTTTATATGTGTTTACATATGACAGCTCTATTACTTTCAGGAATAGGCCTGCCATCTTGGCCTTGTGACGTCACGACTGAAAATCCCAATAACAGTCCCCGGAAAATTTATACATAGTTATACATATAATAAGTTATACATATAATAAGTTATACATATAGTTATACATATATTAAAATAAAAATTTATATAATACAGTTATATTTATACATATAGTGTATAATTTATACATTTATACTATATTTTATAATATTTTACATTTTATTGTAGCTTCTAATATTATTTAATAATACTAACTGTTAGCAACGCCAATTTCTTGAACCATTTCTTATTAATATCTCTAATACATACTAGTCTTTCTTTTGAATATTATGATATTGTTCATTACATATTGTTTTTAGCCAATAATAAATAATTATTATTAATTATTATTAAGGCTTTATTATTAAGGCTTATTATTAAGGCTTTATAATAACTATTTCAGCATCCTTGTGGACTCGAATAAGGAAACTGGCTGCACCAACATTTAATTCATACATGTTGCGAAATTTCTTTGATGTATTTGTTCAACAATCTATAATATTTACACATAAATTAGAAAAAGATGGTTATTTAAATGGAAAAGAAATTATCCTTCTAGAACAAATATCAAATTGTGCTTGGAAAATAGCATGTGGTGAGATGATTATGTAATTTGATATATTTTTAAACTATTAACATATAATACAATTTTTTTCGAAATAATTACAAGATTTTTCATACATTAACAATATAATAGTTTCCATATTATTTAAATACACAAACACACACATACACATACTTTGTAAATACTATTAATTTTAAGTTAAGATAAATTTATTATATTAAGAATATTTTGGTATCTCATATAGAGAAAATTTTTATTTTATATTTTTTATGAGATTCTTATCTAAAAAAAGGCATATTAAATCGATACTCGTATCTCTTGAAGTCTTCTCGAAGATGTCGAAGTTAATTATTGATTATTTTCCGAGATGCCGATTGGTTCTCTCGCTGAGCTTACTTTATGAACGGCTGTCATCCCGGGAAAAAAAGATTATATACATATATAATGATATTATATATACAGGGTGGCCCATTTTAAAAGAGGCAGGTAAATATCTCAAAAAATATGAAACATACGGAAAAACGTTTCGAACAAAAGTTGTTTGGCTCGAAGGGAGACATAAGATGGTGCCATTGATTTGACCTTGGATGGTCGTTTAAAGCTCACGTAAACGACTCCTTTAATTTTTTAAATAAAAACTTCTATTTTTCAATTCATATTCTTGTAGCTAATTTTGAGAGCTTTTCAAAACACTATAATGCAGAATTTTTTCATTAAAAACTTTTGGAATTATAAGGCTTGAAAGTTCTAGTATTTTGACATAAAATACAAAATATCTTGTAAAACATTAAGTTTTCAGTAATGTTACCTTAATACTTTTATGCACAGAATAATAAGACAAATCAATTGGTATGAAAAAAAGACATAGTTGCTTTTAAGAAAAAGTATGCAGATGCGTGTTGCAAATTACATTTTTTTTTTAAAGGAACTATGCCTTTTTTATACCAATTGATTTGTCTCATTATTCTGTGCATAAAAGTATTAAGATAACATTACCGAAAACTTAATGTTTTACAAGATATTTTGTATTTTATGTCAAAATACTAGAACTTTCAAGCCTCATAATTCCAAAAGTTTTTAACAAAAAAATACTTTATTATAGTGTTTTGAAAAGCTCTCGAAATTAGCTACAAGAATATGCATTGAAAAATAGGGGTTTCCATTTAAGAAGTTAAAGGTGTCGTTCACCGTGAGCTTTAAACGACCATCCAAGGTCAAACCAATAACACCATTTTATGTCCCCCTTCGAACCAAACAACTTTTGTCTGAAACGTTTTTCCGTATGTTTTATATTTTTCGAAATATTTGCCTGCCTCTTTTAAAATGGGCCACCCTGTGTGTAAATATATATAATCATATATAACCATATATAGTCAATATATATTTAAAAAAAACTGTTAACTTCGATAATGAAGCATTGATAAATTAAGATGTATATTTTTTCAAAAGCTGTAGAATCAAAAGTGAAATGATTTATTCCATATATTATAACTTAGCACTGCTTGACGTGAGACACTGCCGTGTCTTTTGATACCGTTCTTGTACCACTGTTCGTCAAATTTTAAATACAAGAAACAAATCTTATCGAATGGCATCTATTAAATAATCCGAATTTAAAGTTTATATATGACTAGCTGGTTACCCGAGCTTTGCCCGGAAGTCGTTTTTTTTTTAAACAACTTCATTTGTGTTTCAATATCCTTAAGCGGGGAGTACACACTTCTGCACAACGCATAATGTGTAAGCATAAAAAAATTGATTGGTCCATACACATGTGCATAAGGAAATAGACCAATCAGTTTTCTTATGCTTACGCATTATGCGTTGTGCAGAAGTGTGTGCTCCCCGCTCTATTGTGGATAAACATAAGGAGTGTGTCGGGTGGTTGATTTAAAGACGGTAATTTAACTTTTCTGCATGAATAACACATTCTAGGTGCTTAAGTTTTAAACTTTTTTACTTGACAATGATCACATATTGCATCCATTTTTCCAATTATTACACTCGGATAAAATTGATATTCGTAATTTGAGTCATAACTATAAATGCCTCTAATTTCAAATCGGACCGCATAAATGTTTTCGTGGATTAAACATGTTGTAACCGGTCTTTTTCTACTCGAGTTTCACACTATTGAGTCATTTCCGCTTTTCCGATATTTCACTTACCGATCAGCGACAACATTCCTTGGTTTACCCAGGCGTTTTTTCGGGAATTTTGAGATTGCTTGCTCGCGATGTACACAGAACCTCGATTTTTCAATTAAAAAACCATGGAATAAAATCGGTAATCACCGATTCTCACCAAATTCAATATAATAATATTCTATCCATAAAAAAAAATTAGCTTGATATCGCAAAATTTGCAGAAATCAAAACAATTACATAGATTTTTTTAGATTTAAATCAGTAACCCTTTATTAGGAAATTTTACCCCTGTTTTATATACAATTCTTTAAAATTCGGTCAATTATTTCCCGAAAAATTGGAAAAATTTCAGATACCGGTTCCAATAAAGATCGGTAACGAAAAACTATACAGTTTATAGCACTCCCCGGGAAATTCTACCCCTGTTTTATATACAATTCTTTAAGATTCGGTCAATTATTTCCCGAAAAATTGGAAAAATTTCGGATACCGATTCCAAAAAAAATTGGTAACAAAAAATTATATACTTTATGGCACTTCCCGGGAAATTCTACCCTTGTTTTATATGCAATTCTTTAAAACTCGGTCAATTATTTCTTTGAAAAATTGAAGAAATTAGAAAAACCGGTTTCCAAAAGATTGGTAACGAAGAACTATACACCCTATAGCACTCCCCGGGAAATTTTATCCCTACTTCATATATAATACTTTCAAAATCGGTCCAATAGTTTCTAAGATTACCCCGAACAACAGTACAAACTTTTCCCCTTTATATAATAGTAGAGATTACCCGGGAAAAAAACCACTTATTTGTTTTGGTTACCTGTACCCGGGCTTCACCCCGGAAGACATATGTAATGAGACACGCAAATAATCTCTTTCTCTCTTTCTCCCTTTCTCCCTGTCTCCCTCTTTCCTCCTCTCTCCCTCTCTCCTCCTCCTCCCTCTCTCTTCCTCTCTCCCTCTTTCCTCCTCCTCTCTCTCCCTCTCCCTCTTCCTCTCTCTCCCTCTCTCTTCCTCTCTCTCTCTCCCTCTCCCTCTTCCTCTCTCTCCCTCTTTCTCTCTCCCTCTTTCTCTCTCCCTCTCTTTTTCCCTCTCTCCCTCTCTCTCTCTCTCTCTTTTTCTCTAAATACAATTCTTTAAAATTCGATTAATTATTTCCCGAAAAGTTTGTCAAACTTCTGATACCAGTTTCCAAAAAGATCGGTAACGAAAAATTATATACTTTATAGCACTCCCCGGGAAATTCAACTCCTAAATACCGGCTTCCAAAAAGATTGGTAACGAAAACTATACACATCATGGCGCTCCCCGTAAAATTCTACCCCTACTTCTTTAAGATTCGGTCAATAAATTCCCGAAAAATTGAAAAAATTTCCGTACCGGTTTCCAAAAAGATCAGTAACAAAAAATTATACACTTCATAGTACTCCTCGGAAAATTCTACCCCTGTTTGATCTACAATTCTTTGAAATTCGGTGAATTATTTCCCAAAAAATTAAAAAAATTAGAAAAACCGGTTTCTCCAGAAAATCGGTAACAAAAAACTATACACATAGTGGCACTCCCCGAAAAATTCTACTCCTATTTCATATACTTTTGGTAAAAATTCGGTTCAGGGGTTTGGGCTGGGCGTTGATGAGTCAGTGAGTGAGTGAGTCAGTCAGTCAGGACATCTTCCTTTATATATATAGATATGGTCATATAAGAAATGGAAATATAATCTTGAACAATATTATATGGCTAAATCTCTTTAAGTATAACTTTATATAGTCATATATGGTTTTATATACTAGTATATTATCATGTGTGATCATGTAAAAGTATATTTACAAGGTTAAAGATAATCATATATGAATACTCTATAATGGATCTATCCATATAAATTTGTATAAGTGTTATAAATATTCTTCTAGTATATTATTTTACTTGACAATATCAAATTAATATAAAATATATTATTTATAGTTTCAGTTTACACAATTGCATTTTAAATAAGTCGTTTTATTTTCGACCCAACTGGCCAATTAAAACAATATTGCACCAGGTAAGTATTGCATTTTAAGTCTGACAAAGTCCATATTGGCACGCAGTGCGAATTTAAAAAACTGAAACATGTATTTAATAACAATTGATATTGTAAAATATTATAAAACGTCAAGACCTGCTTCGACCGAAAACGGCACTTCTCATTGCTTATATGTTATTTTCTTTTTTTTTTTTCTAATTTTGCATAAGGTACTTAATTTTTTAAATTAACATATATTAATTTTTATTAAATATTTTCATAAACAGTAAAATCACCAATAATAATTCGTGAAAAAAACTGTTATATAATATATATTATAGTTCTTATAAACAAATATATTAATCGTATTATTTTGCAAACATACACCTTATAATTTAAACTGAAAATAATATAATCATATATGAAATGATATTGTCATATAAGATTATATATGATCAGACCAGAATATTGCATCTCAAAGTATCCAATAGATAACATTCGATGTGATCTGTTTCTCGTATTTAAAATTTGACAAACAGTGTTATAAGAACGGCATCAAAAAGATACGACACTGTCTCGCGCGACGCTGTCTCCGAGCGACATAATTTTTGTATCAGTTATATCGTGAAGTCCACTCTTATAATAAAATGGCACGCTTAAAAAATAACATTTGAAAATATATAACAATTTTCTAAAACCTATTTAAAATATATATGTCCTTATATATAATCTTATATAATCATATATGATCATATAAACTCTTATTAGGCCAAAATTCATATATGATAAGATAGCTTCTTATATGAGCATATAACACACTATAAGAGATATTTTTTATATGTCCTTATATAATCTTATATAATCATATATGACTATATAAGATCTTATATGCTTAAATACGGCCAAAATTCATATATGAGCATATAAGACATGATAAGGATTTTTGTCCCGGGTATAATTATACTTTTACATGATCACACATGATAATATACTAGTATATAAAACCATATATGACTATATAAAGTTATACTTCAAGCGATTTAGCCATATAATATTGTTCAAGATTATATTTCCATTTCTTATATGACCATATATAATTATATATTTACTAATATGAACAAATAAGAGGTATTTTTTCCCGAGTATATAATCATATATGCTTATATATGGCCAAATATAATTATATACTCTCATATATGGCTATATAATATTGTTTAAGATTATATTTTCCATTTCTTATATGATCATATATAATCATATTTCTACTAATATAAACTATAATATAAATAAATAAGAAGTTTTTTCTGGGTATATAATTATATATAATCATATAGGGTTATATACTTCCATATAAATCTTATATGTATCCATACATGAATGCATATATGTTCTATTGTTCATATCTAGTTATATTTGGAATTATATATGCTCATATATAATGATATAAGGACCCATATATAATTTTATATAAAGCATCTTTCATATATATAATCACACATATAATCATATATATTTATATATAATTATATATAATTATATATAATCTTTTTTTCCCGGGATGGCATATATTTTGACAGTTGTGTGTATCTGTTGTGTAGCTAAATAGCGAGTCTAGTATTTTTTATAACATATTTTACTGATAAGATTTAAAAAATATTTATTATATAATGTTATTTTAAGCAGCTGATAATTACTCTCACGTGCTTGATAATTAAATAATTTTTTCATCTTCAATATTATATTATGTTTGATATACACTGGAGGCTCCATTTAAAACAGTACGGTCAAATAACTTATAAAAGAGGAGGTTGACAAAAAAATGTATGAGATGAAAGTTGTATTGTTTGAAGGGGGTCAATAGATAATCTTATTTGATTTTGGGTTTGGAGCTCAATTGAGTTATTCCACTGTACTGTTTTAACCCTATTGAGTCACACTTCCCAAGAATCTCGTACCGGTCACACTGGGTGAAATACACCCCCAGCGTGTTTGCATGTGTATAAAAAATTGTAGGTGACCTTAAAAAAAAATTTCCTGTTGTAGTTTAAGTCTTCATTAAAAAAGCTGTATAGGTTTGATTTGCAAAAAATTAATTTAACATATGTAAAAAAATTGTTGAAAAAAATAAGTCGGAAAAGTGACTTTTTACAAAAACTAATGTAACTTTTTCAATTTTTAAGATATTTTAATTTTTCAAACGGTTTTTTCATCCTCAGATGACGCACTTTTCACTAATTATTACAGTTTATGCGGCTGTTCCAAAAAGTATATTAATTTTGAGGTTATGAAGGTGCGATTTTTTGTGGAAAAAAATGCCGAGAGAGAACTAACGGGCCGAAAAATATACCACCGACGGGGATCGATACTTGAAGGTCCCAACTACCTGTAGATGACGGCACAAGGCCCATTTCCATTGGTTTACTGGATCGTTTTCGAAGTCAAAAAACGTTGGGGTGTATTTTACCTAGTGTGACTCTATAGGGTTAAATAAGACTCCTTGTCAATGCTACTCAACAAAAAATAAAGACTATATGTCAAATGCTCAAATAATTAAAATTTTAAACCACATTTAAAAAATGACAATATAATTCTAAAAAACCAAGTAACGTGAGTTGTGGTCCACAGAACGATAAAAATAAAACATTTTCAAAAATTGCTAAAAATACATTAAAGTATTAGCTTCAAAATTTCTTTCTCAATATTTTGCAAAAATGATTTTTAGTCGAGTTTTAGCGGTCCGAAGGTTGGGCAGTATAGTACAAAAATTATTATTTAATCAATTGCACATTAATATTTTAAATAATGAAATGTTCTTTTCATGTTATTACTGTATAGATTCTATTATGGGTATCCAGTTGGAACCAAATAAAAACAACGACTACTTAAAAGCAGTTCAGAGGTATTAACATTTTTTATTCTAAATACTCATAATTAATAAATTATATAACAACAATAACAATAAATCTATTTGAATAAAATTTTTGTATTTTCTTGAAAAATTACATTTGTGTATCAAGAAAATTTTTTTATCATTTGTCAATTCATTTAAAGTCAATTTTTACTATAAATAAATTAGGGGAGACCAAGGCAAAGTCGGCCCCGAGGCGGAGTCGTTTTTGCAATTATCTCAAAATCTGTATATTGTGTGAACTTGCCATTAATACTGTAAGCACGGCTTATGCCCACGTAACCAACGGAGTTTAGAGAGATTACGTGCCATGTGATTCTTATCAAAGCAAACGTGTTTTCGCAGGTCAAAAGTATAATTTCTTTCGCATCCAAAGTTTGTAATATCTTAAGTATTATTGTCTCTCCGAATCTCAAAGTAAGTGATTCTGAAGAGTAATGCATGCTGAACACGAATCCAGTGCGGTTTTTTTATTTTCATTGATTTCTATTATTTTGTAAGTAACCTAAAACTTGTGTTCAGGACGAAGTCGTTTCCAAGCCAAAACGAAGTCAAGAAAGCTATTATAAGTAATATGTGCTGCGTATGCTCGGAAATAATAGAAAACAGAGCCGATGAAAAACAGTGCATTTCGTGCAGGCGAAAGGCACACAACGAGTGCGTGCGCTTGTCAGACTCTGTCCTGACCCTGATTCCGTTTTCTATTTTTCTACTAAAAACAATAAATAAAGTGTATTCTATTATTTTTTATGATCAAAATTATGTATCTTTATTTAAAATCCAGTCCAAGAATGAAGACACGACTCCGCCCCGGGAATTTTGACTTCTCGATTTTTGCACCATTGTCGTTTTTACTCTATACCGGTTGAACAAACCGACGTAGACCAAAAAATGCCTATATAAATTTTGTAGCCAAGAGTTCACTCTTTACAATGGTGTACTATATTTTACTAAAATGATTTATTTTGTTGTTAAAAATCGGCACCGAAAAAAAGGGCCGACTTTGCCCCGGTCTCTCTTATATATGATATGTACCATATTATTAAAAAAAAACTATATTATTTCCTTTTACAAAAAACATTCTGTAACGCAAAAATTTAAAAAAATCTGAAAATTTGCGTAATTATATATATGTACCTACATGAAGACGTTCTAACAATACAATAATTTTTTATTTGAGCTAGAAAAGGACTTATTATCCGATTTTTATAAACATTAAACAGAGTGAGTTTTATTTAGTGTGCCAATTATATCCGTCAATTATTTTAGAAAATATTGATTTACTGGGAGAAATGTTTCAGATAAAAGTTGGAGGTTTCAAAGACGACCAATGAACAATCTTATTAGATTTTGGGTTTGAAGGCTTATGTTGGGCCTATAGTATTGCCTAATTTAAATTTTTTTAAAAAGAAAACCTCCATTTTTATTGTATTATTTTTTTCTACTAATTAATTTTAACAACTTTTGTATAACACATTTTTTTATTTACTTAATACTTTTTGAGATATTCAAGGAGAACTTAAATTGATAACTTTTTTAATATTTAGCTTACGATATCTCGATAATTGTTTGTCAGAGGAAATAGTGTTGCAGAACTTTTTGACTTGATTTGATCTCAAGAATATACTGTTCCAATAATATCTAAACTTTTTTAAATACTTGTGTACCTATACATCTTTTAAGAGCTTTCATTTATGTATACACAAATATTTAAAAAAGTTGGGGTACTATTGCAATAGCATATTCTTGAAATCAAATCAAGTCAATAAGACCTGTATCATTTTTCTCTCTGACAAACAATTATCGAGATATCGTAAAGCTAAGTAGGTGGCAATGTGGTCTAGTGGTAGAGCGGTAGAGCGCCAGACTCGTAATCTGAGGAACCAGATTCAAGTCCACTAGAGCCATGTTTAAGGGAAAGTTTTTTTCGAAACCTGCGCCCTCCGTGCAAGATAGGCTCTTGTGCGGAGCAAACTGGGGTCCGTCTTCCGGAAAGAGACGTTAAGCCGTTGGTCCAAAGGGTTAAGTGAGAGGAGAAAGGTAGTCTTGGATGAGAATTGAATAAAGGGTTGGGAACGTCCCTATAAAACGCCTTGCAACCCTGAGTCAATAAACGTATTTATCTTTATATTTTATCGTAAGGTATATTGAATATTGTAGGTATATTTGTAAGGTATATTAAATATTGAAAAAGCTACCAATTTAAGTTTTTCTTGAATATCTCAAAAAGTATTAAACAAATAAAAAATGTTTCTGACAAAAATTGTTCAAGATTAGTAAAAAAAAGTTTATACACTACGAAATACGGGTTCCTATTTTAAAAAGTTAACGTTGGCCTTACTGGGCTTAATACGCACCTCGGATCCAAAATCTAACAAGATCGTTTATTGGCTTTCTTTAAACTCTCCAACTTTTATCCGAAACATTTTTTCAATAATCCAATACTTTTTAAGGTACTTAGCGAAGATTATTGGCTAAATAAAACTCATCCTGTATATTGCAGTTTTACACAAAATATATAAAATACTTACATATTTTTTTTACCAGAATCTATGTGAAATAACTATTATATTATTAACTATATCTACCATTTTGGAACAAGAAGATAAATGCAATTATTAAATGCGAGTATGCAACCTAATTTTCGTTAGAAAAAATTTTATAAAACATTTATACATTTTTCTGATATTATTATGCTTTTCCATCTTTAATTAAATTAAATTTGCAAAATGCTATTTTAAAATTATAATTACTTAAAATTATGATTTTCTATATATCATCAAAGACTCGATTTGTTTTTTATATTATTAAGTTATAATGCATGTATGTAGTATACAAAGATCATTTACGTAATTGGACTTTACATATTGCTACGTGTTTTGCATCGTTGCATGTATTGCAAGAACTTACAAAAAAGAAAAAAAATATTAACCATCATCAAACAGTGCCAGCGTGCGGATAAGATTAATATGGATTGTGCATCCTTATCTTATTTTGCAAGAATAAAGAAGAATCATCTTATATTTTGTAACACAATTTTATGATACATGGTTGAATTTGGCGCAACATAAGTTTTAATATAATTTTATAACATAAAATATTTTTTAAAATATTCTCAAAAACAATAATGAGTGATAAAGGTATTTTAAAAAATGTACCATTTTTGGAAAATTAAGTTATACTATTGTAAAGTGCATTTAAAACCATACAATTTTTGTTTAAACTAGAACAATACAGGCGCGCGCTACGCGCGCGCTATTTAGCTTT